TGCCGCAGCGGGCGCCGCGTCGCTGCCAGATGATCGGGATGGTGGGAGACGCGGGGTAATCTCAGAAAGTGCGACATGCTCGTGGGCCGGGCTCGCCGCCGACATAATGCACGGCGCGCGTTCGACGCGGCGCCTTGGCACTTGGACTATCATGCGTCGCATGTGTCTCTGAAGACGCCGACGTCGCCGCATGACCCCCGCCGCGGGGGACCCGGCTTCGCGCTCGCAAAGCTTCAAACGACTCGCCAACGAGTGCATTCTAGAAGCGGGATTCCTGCTTGAAGGCGTGGATTTTTGCCCATCCAGTCATGATCCGGCTTTGCAATTCACTTCGGTCATGTTGGCGCCGCTGAACTGCGACTTCCTGCCGAAGTACTTCGTCGACGTACATTCCGGTGGTGCTTCGATTTTAATGTCGCCGACAGTCGCGGCCTCGTCAAGCCGCCAGCGCCGTAAATTACGCTGGATACCCACTCAGTAAGATTTTGGTGTTGTCTGACATTCCAAGCGCGCTCCGTTCGGCCATTGCATCACATGGCCTGGCCAAGGGCGGCGCGCGCTGATGTTCGGCATGGGCGCGCGTTGCGGCGTTAGGGAGAAACCTGCCAGAACCTGCAGGGTGCAACATAGGAAAGCACTAGCGCCGAACCGAGCGCCGCAGCAGCTGCTGGCCAAGCCAGCCACTGATCCCTCAGAACAAAAAACGCCGCCTGATCAGCACCCAGGCCGGGGGCCAAAGTCCGCCGAACAATTTCGGTCGGTGGGCAATGAAGTTATCGCTCCGCTGCGCTATGTTCACCGCAGGATAGCAGCGCCGTCTGACACGCCGCGCGAGCAGTCCGAGCATGCCAGGAAACTCGAAATAATGTTAGTGAAATTCGCGAGCTCAAAAGAAACGCGGCGCACGAGCCAAGGAAGCCCTGCGAAGAAGCCGCGCAAAAGGCTTGCAGGGCACGTTTTGGGGACGAATAAGAAAGCGCTTGCGGGGCAGGCTTGGGGCGCGCGGAAAACCGCAGCAGGTCCTGGCGGGGGTGCCTGCCCGGCAGCCGTCTAGAAGAAGGTGGCCCAATCTTGCCTGCCAGCTTCTTCTCCGGCGGGGCGCCGACGGGCGCCGACGGGGCGCCGGCGGGGGGCCGACGGGGCGCCGCGGGGCGCCGACAGGGCGCCGACGGGACAGCGGCAGGACACACCGACAGGACACTGACTGGACACCGACGGGACACCGATGGGACACGCGGACGGGGCGCGCCGACCGGACACTGGCGGGACACCGGCGGGACATCGATTGGGCCGTCTGGGAGCCCTCATGGGAGGCTCCTCGGCCGCCTCGGCGTTGCCGCGGGGGCCTCTCGGCCTTCTTTTTATATATTAATAAAAAAAATGAAAATTGTGTATTTATCTGTTTGAATATACATATATATATACACATATATATACATGTATACATATATATATATATATATATATATATATATATGTGTATATATATAGATGCACTACTATAAATGTATATATAGTAGTCTATATATATATGTATATATGTGCGTCTTCCGAAAGGAATGGGGCCACTTATGCCTCGTGAGGCTCTCTTGGAAGGCCTCGCGGGAACTTCTTGGGGCGCGATGGGGGCTTTCTGGCGGCGCTGGAGGCATCTCCGAGGCCATCGTGGGCCATCTCGGCCAGTTTGGAGGGCATCTAACACGTCGCGCGTGAATGTATAGATACATGCATGCGCGCGTCTATCTGTCCCCCCCCTTGGAACGCAGACCCATCATGTGTCATCGCGCCTCATCTAGCGCGGCGAAAGGATTCGCGCTGCCACTGCAAAGCGCCCCTGCGCACGACGTCGCCGAGCGAGCCCGGCGCCCGCGGGCCCCGTCGAAGCGCGCCGCCGAGGGCGCGAGCGACAGGGCCGGGGGGCGAGACGGAGGGCGACGAGAGGAGGGGGACAAGAAGGCGAGAAGGAAAACTACCCTAGACGCCGGCGCTCACCTTTCGGTCGCGCAAGGCCGCCGCGGGAAGGGCAGCGCAGGAAGACGCGCAGCGTTGACTCTAGACTGGCGCCAATATACTTACAGGCTGCGACCGTTTGGCTGGCAACTCAGATTCGGTCATGCTGGCCTGTCCTGGGCGGCGGACAGCGGCCCCGGAGGGCGAGGGGGGGGGGGGGCGGGGGCGAGCGGGGGGGGGGAGAGGGAGAACTCGCGCGCGCAAACCAACCTTCAGCTGGTCTTCGCACAGGGTACCACGCGGGTAAACTAGACACGGCTTGGCACTGCGTGAACAGCGATGCCTGCCCAGCAGGGGCGGAAAAAGGACAGGGCGCGCGCGCCTGCGGCATGGGCGCCTACAAAAAACCATAGGGGGAGAGGCGAGACCGAGCTCAACCGCACCTCTCAGGCCCCCACTTGACGCGTCAACCACTGAGACCTCCAGAGCCCAAGGAGCAGCCAGGTCTCGGACGGCGAGAACGACGCGGTGACCAGCACACTCGAGCTCCTTTTTCGCCGAGGGTCAAAGCGGCGCAGCAACTTCGCCAGTGCGCTCCATGAACGAGTGGGCCGCGTAGAAACACACGCAGAAGCTCGCCTCTAACCAACGCTAAAGTGCTGAAGTGGGACACGAGAGTCTCGACGGTATTCCCCGAGGCGGGCTTCCGTCGAACGAGACCTTGGAAACCGAGGCGACGCTTCCAGCAGGCAACTGGGTTGATTCCGACCTCGGCGGAGTCGTCCGAAAACGTCCACCTAAGGGCGGCGCCTCCTCTCGCGTCCTCCACTGGGTGCACTGGCAGCTGACCTCGAACCAGCTCGGCTGAAACGGAACGGGCGGCATCGCCAGAGGCCTGCAGGGAACGGCTGAGGGCAATGAAGTTGTCAACTTGCCCAGCGTGTATCAAAGGCCGGAGAGGAGGGGCAGGTCGACCGTCAAAGAGGGCGTTGTCCCGAGTGATGCCAGAAGCACGCAGCGATGGAATCCCTTCAGCATGCTGCATAACCCACAGGGGCAACTTCCAATCCATGGGGATAGGGAGCCCACAATGGACGCGCGCGCCCAACTATGCGCATGAACGCGGCCCCATCGATCTGCGAGACCGGCCGCGTGATACGAGCATTCGTTCAATGCGTACTCTCGAAACCAGCGTGGGTTCATGCACGCGTGCGCCCTTCTTTCGCTCCTGAGGGGATCGCGGTGAATCGGGGGGGGGGGGGCGTGCGCAGGCGGGGCCACTGGGGCCCCCAATGCTTCCGCGACGCCAACCTGCCCTTCTCGAGAACGGGGCAGGCCGAAGAAACACTGGAGCGCATCTGGTAACGCTAGGTTGCACAAGATGTTTGCTGCATCATCACCGCCCACGCAGATTGGCTCGCTGGAGTCGACGTGGATCGAAGAAAACGAGGACCCACTTGCCAGCTGCACGGGGTCAGAATTGTCAACCCAAAACTTGAGACTTCCCAATCGGTAACCACGAGAAACTTCCCAGATTTCTTTCGCACGGCGAAGATCCCAGCCGTCGCTGTTCGTTCTCCTCCCCATCCCACCAAACCAGCCTCCTGGGGCCGCTTCAGGATCGAGGCATATAAACGCGGAGAGCAGGGTCTGCATGCGGCCTCGAGAAGCCGTCGCTGGCCATCTTCTCGCACGCCAGGCGCCCAGGAAAAATCTTGCGTGAGAGCTCGTCGCCCAAATGATCACCCTCCGGACCAAGAAGGCCCTCCAGGGGCTTTGGGGAACTACCGACGGAGAGGAGGTCCAGGAGGCAGACAATGTCTGGGCCGATCGGCGCCAGGGCGGCCTGTTCACCGCCGTAAGAACGCCTGGCGCAGAGCTCACTCAGTGCTCTCACGCCGGAGAGACCAGGGGGCGGGGGGCGAGGCGATCCGCGGAGCGGCGGATGAGGCGAAGAGCCTCGAGCTGGGCCGCGCTAGGATTGGCATGCCCCGCCGATTGAGACCTCGAGGCGATGTCATCGCAAAACCGTGCCGAATGGGCCTGGCGAGGATGACGCCTGCGAACGGACCGAAGAAATGGATGGCGAGGCCAGGCCAGCCTCAATCAAGAAGTGCAAAGGAAGAGGGAGATTACGCTGCCGCTCAACACCGGCACCGTGGGGCAAAGCGAAGGATGGTGTAGGCCATGTCGTCGAGTGGCCTGCTGCCTCTAGGTTCAGCTTCGGAGTAGAGGCGTCGTCCGAGACGGGTCTCGTCGAAGTCATTGCTTCCTGAAGAGCGTGGCTTGCTCCTCCTCGGCATATCGTACTTGTTTGAGAATCGGAGCGTCCTTATCCACTTCACACGAAACACGACCGAACAGAGCAAGGCCCGCCGCGGCCGACACTGTGTCTGTGCTGACGCCTGAGAAGATAATGGCCCCAACCATGAGGCCAACAAGATCACTGTCGAGATGCTCGGTTTCCTATCTTTGTTGCCTATCCTCTCACAGGCACCCATCGAATCCATCCAGTAGGCGCACTCGGGGGCTCAATTTTGCGCATGAGAAGCACAGTGTCAGACAAGTCACATGTGTTGACGCCATCGAAGCACGCGGTCTCCTCGAGCAGCCGAAGATCGGAACCATGGACCTCAAACCCCCAGGCGTCGGGCTTCATCGAGAGGACACAATGACCGGTCTATGGAAAGCCACCGGGGCGGGCACGCGACGGTCCAGCCACATCACAGAACATCTCATCGTACGACGCCCTGGCATGGTCGAGGTCGGGTACGCCGTTTCCTTCAGCTCACTACAGATTTCACAGGAGCCGCGATGCGGCCGAGCCAAAACATGCTCCGAGCCGTCGGGGATTCGAGGGTCCCGCGCCGCACCCAAAGGCGCGTGCACTGTAGTGTCCGAAGGGAGGATGTTGCCGAGGAATATGTTGAGGCTGTATGGCGTCTGATCGAGGATGAGGTCCCCGTGCACCATCGCATTCGCCTGGAATGTAACCGCGCCGCCGCGCCTCACGAAGGTAGTACCTTCGACGGCTGCGGCGACTGGGCGACATGGCCGCCGGCCGCCACGCACGGCGCAACCGCCGCAAGAACTACGACCAACGGCGCGCCGGCAGCGGCAACAGGCGAAGTTACCCCAGCTCCGACAGCAGCATGAACGTCAGCGGTGCTGCCGACCAGGGGCGCCAAGCAACCAGCAGCGGGGACGGCGGAAGCTCGTCCCGCCACAGCCATCTCGGCGACGAGCATCGCAGCAGTGTGGGTGTCGCTGGCCATCGGGTGCGTCATGATCTCCGCGATCATGGGGACACGTTGAAAGCGGTAGCTGTCCTGAGCTCTGATACCGGGGGCCTGCCACAGTCAGAACAAACTCGGGCTGTGGACATGTCCATCGACCCGTCCGAATAGTCCTCATCATAAACGTCCTTGATATAGAGCAGGGACCGACCGTCCTGGCATTATTATAAGCCTACCACGACATTTTCTTGGAACCCAAACATGTTCGAATAACAACAACAATATTCTTATCACATAAGCCCGATGTATGTGTCAAAACAAAACAGTCACCGACATAAGCGTTTTAAGAACATCTCGCGCAAACCACAGAAGGTTATTAGAACATTCTATGGTGAGCCTATAGGCGAGCCAGGACGCTTCGCTAGTGCTTGACAATAGGCGAGCAAATCGCACAATGCAATCCTCAGTCGGGGTCGAAGCCGATTGCCACCACTGACCCAACACCATACGATGATGCCAGAGCAGGCCGCCGACGTACAGGACCCACAGCAAGCGACCTGGTCGCTGTGAAAACATCGGGCTCTGCAGCCGATTCCGTCACAACCCGCGGAGGCCACGCGAGCCGGCACGTAGAGGTAGTCAGGCAGCTGATGCTCGCACCGACGACAAAGCTCAACACGAGGGCGACCACCACCCACCCGAAGCTGGGCCCGCTGGTGCTCAGCACGTCGTTCCGGAAGAATTCGGTCGCCGAGCACTCCTGCACGATCGGTGCGGGAACCCCCGGGCACGCGGGGCAAGCCGCGCACGAGGGAAAACGGAGTGCCGATGGGCAGCGGGGGCACGATGGACAAGGCGGCGCTGCTGGGCACTGTGAAAGATATGGTACTGTGATCTGAGATGCGTATCCGAGATATGGAAGGAGACCTGATAGCATGGGGCGTGGGCCCGTTCAATCTTGAGCACAATGTTGAAGGAAACGGTCCTCAGGCAGACAACTCGCATGTAAACAAAATCATATGTAATGGGATGTAGGGATCGGTTTTCGCCACGTGCTCGACGAATTCCGAACCCCAGCCCCGCCGCCCATCGAGTTGCCTGAATCGTTGGTCGGCGAGGGTCGGGCTCGGATTTGGCCACCAAACATGCCCCACTCCCTCGCGCCGCGCGGCGTGGAGGCGGGGGAGGGTCCCGACGCTAGAACGCGTGTCTTTATTTTCACCGATGACGGGCATCATTGGGGGGGGCGGGGGAAGGGGGCATGACGCAACGCACCCCCCCCCCCTCCGCCGCGTGGTTCCGGCACCACAGCCGCTCCCGCGCGCGCGACGACGATGAACGACGAGCGACGAGCGACGAGCGACGAGCGACGAGCGACGACGACGACGGCGACGACGACGACGACGACGACGACGACGACGACGACGGCGACGGCGACGACGACGACGACGACGTGGGGTAGGCAAAATGGTAGCGTTCCCGCGTGCACCACAGCGCATGTGCGCACGAACCACGACCAGGGGCCACGAGCCACGACCAGTTCAGCACCATCTGCATGCACCACACTGCCTGTGCGCACCACAAGGCCTGCGTGCACCTCTGGGACCCCATGGGGTCCCGACGGGACCAATTGCCAGAAACCGTGGGGGCGGCCGATATAATCAAATTCGATATGTGAAGGGCTTGTGATCACTGTTTTTTCCTTGCCCTGCGTGCACTCCTGCACCTTGAGCCCACGACGCCCGTGAACACCCGTGAAAAGAAATGGCAAGGAATGGGGAGGAATGAGGAGGGCAGGCGATGGTATCGCCACTGCGTGCACCAGAGCGCGTGTGCGCACGAGCCACGACCAGGGGCCACGAGCCACGGCCGCAGGCCCGCCGCCACACAGGCCGCCCAGCAGGCTGCCTCTGCAGCCTCCTGGCGCCGACATGGCTTGACCAAGAAATAGTCGAAAAATGGCGATGCGGAGGAAGAGGGGGAGGAGGAGAAAAGAGAGGAGGAGGACAAGGAGGAGGAAGAGGAGGAGGAGAGGGAGGAGGAGGAGGAGGAGGAGGAGGAGGAGGAGGAGGAGGAAGAGTTTTCACCGGGAGCACAAAATCGCAATTTCCGATCCCTATGCGGATCCCAGCGCGGGTCCCTATGACGAACCCTTATGCCGATCACAAGGCGGATCCCCATGCGTATCCCTGCGCGGATCCCTATGCGGATCCTTATGCGGATCCCGATGCGGATCCCGATGCGGATGCCTATGCGGATGCCCATGCGCATCGCCCTGCGAATCCCTATACGAATCACTATGCAGATCCTTACTTAGGCAGATCCCTATGCGGATCCCTATGCGGATGCGCATGCGCAATCCCTGTGCGAATCCCCATGAGACTCCCAATGCGGACCAGACTCCTGTGCGGATTCCTATGCGGACACCTCTGCGGGTCCCGAAACGCACGGCGACAGTGCCCAGAGCGCACTGGGGGGGGGGGAGCGGTACAAGGGAGGGGGGGGGGGCGGGGGCCCTGACGCCCGTCGTGCCCAAGCAATAAACAAACGCGCTCCTACGGGTGCGAGCGTGCGCCCTCTACTAGCCTGCGGCAGCAAAAACAAGGGGGGGCGGGGGGGGGGTTCTGGCGCCGGCCCAGGAGTCCCGCTCGGACCTCCGAGGCAGGTCTCTTCCCTGACACCCGCCGACGTGTTTTGTGCTCCATCCGCGGCCTCAAAACTAAGGCGAAGCCAGGACAAGGACAAAGTCGGGTGAGGACAAATCGAGAAGCTCTGAGATCCGGCGGCTCTGGAAAGTGTCTCGGGCGTCGTGGCCTTTTCAAAGCGCTCCGGAACGCTCTGAGATCGTTCCGGAACGCTCTGAGACGGAGTTGTCGTCGTCCCAGCCCCGTCCGAAGACCTCCCTTCGGCCAGAAGCCGGAGTCCCTCCCCCAGGACCGGCATTTCCTCGCATTTCCTCCTGGCTCCGTTGTTGGTGGTCACGGTGAACGTGACAGTATGCCCGATCGAGAGGCCATCAAGCTGGATTAGCCCGGCTTGAGCCCAAGACCACGGATCAAGCCGCATTTCGAGAGATTGAGCAGACGCAAACGGGATTATATGCCAGATTCGGCCTGTTTGCGACCACCCCGAACATCCAACGTTACAGGCCCCCGAGGGCATCTGCCGAGGTGGGGGGCCCTCCGTGCAAACAAGGCCTCCCGACTGGGCCTCGGCGAGGCCCCCTCAGACCTCTGGCGCCGCCCGAAAAGTCCGAGCGGCTCTGTGTTCGCCAAGCTCAGGTGTTCGTGGACGGGGGTGCTAGGATCAGGGAGACACGAGATTCGGGTTCGGGGGTCTCGGATTGGCCCGACGGGGCCATCACGAAAATGGCCAGACCCAGATTGGAACTTGGCGCGAACTACCGCTGCAGACATCCCACGAAAGCTGGACCGTCAAAATTCAGGACGCGCTCGTCAGAAAGCGCCGGCAAACCCGAGTTCCAGCGTTCGAGGGACGGCGGCGCGGCAGCCCAGAGGGAGGGGGAGGCCGGCCGGCGAGCCCCCCACGAGCCGGCCGCGGAGGAAAGGGGAGAGCAAGGAGGGAATGGCAGGGAGGCCTGCCGCGGAGGAGGTAGAGAGAGGAAGGGGAAGTAGGGAGAGGAGGCGCCAACCGGCCGGCCGTGGAGGAGGCAGGAGTGGGCCGGGTCCTTTCTGGTGCACGACCGCTCCACGATTCTCAGCCAGCCCTTCCTTGGGAAGGGCGCGGGGGCGGCATCCTGCCGCAGGTGGGAAGGCCGACGATAGCCGCAGGCCTAGTCGAGCAGCACAGAAACGCTGCTTGACTCCCCCCCGAAGGGGGGTGGATTGCAGCAAGCCGGAAACAAAGGAGAGGGGGGGTGGGACTGATCCAAAAAAGGACGCCTCCCCCCGCAGACGACCAGGGGGGGCGCGAAAAGCCACAGGGAGCCACGCCCTGGCCCCAAACCAAGCGCGCGGCAGCGCGGGGCCGGCAAGCGCCCCGACCTGGACAATCCCAGGCGCCTGCGCCCATGGAGACAAGACCACGACCCGACCCGCCCACCCAAGCAGAGCCGCCGCCACCCACGAAGCCCCCTTCACGAATGCAAGCCTCCTTCGAAGGAGCGCATTCGAGGGACGGCGGCGATGCAGCCCAGAGGGAGGGGGAGGCCGGCCGGCGAGCCCCCCACGAGCCGGCCGCGGAGGAAAGGGGAGAGCAAGGAGGGAATGGCAGGGAGGCCTGCCGCGGAGGAGGTAGAGAGAGGAAGGGGATGTAGGGAGAGGAGGCGCCAACCGGCCGGCCGTGGAGGAGGCAGGAGTGGGCCGGGTCCTTTCTGGTGCACGACCGCTCCACGATTCTCAGCCAGCCCTTCCTTGGGAAGGGCGCGGGGGCGGCATCCTGCCGCAGGTGGGAAGGCCGACGATAGCCGCAGGCCTAGTCGAGCAGCACAGAAACGCTGCTTGACTCCCCTCAGAGGCGGCGCGGTTGGTTTAGAGGTAAAGGAGGTGCGGCCAGAACGGCTGCGCCTGCCCCATCGAGGCTTTTCCCACCTGCGGGATAATTAAGGAGCAACGAAACGCTCTGCAGGCGCCAGGGAAGGACACGCAGAGGCGAAACAGCGCGCAACCCCGGCCTGCATTATTTTGCAGCGATCATCGTCCGAAAAACGCGCGTAGAAGGCGCGCATCGTGGAAGGCGTGCTCCAGCCGCCCTGCGCTTGGATGACCTCCTCAGGAACGCCACCCTGAGTCTTCCACCAGTGCGCCCCACCCTTCCTGAGCGAGTGGGAGCCCACAGTACTGTCGCGACACACAGCACCGAGGGCCCTGCGAAGCGTATCGTCGCCAATCGCCCTGGCCGGAAAGGCGTTAGTGACGCAAAAAAAGCACGTCGCTGGATCCCTGTCCCAGATAGACTCTCTGAGCGCCTGCCAAGCGCGAAGCAGGCTCACAGGGCAGCCAGCGCCAAGCTGCGGAATTGCTGGTATGAAACAGAGCATGCCTCGACCAAAAGGGTCGTTTTTTTGTTTGCGGACGTGAAGCTCCACGCCGTCTGCTTTGAAACGGACGTCGTTACACAGCAAAGCTCGCATCTCTGAGGAGCGGCGGATTCCAAAGAAACATAGCGCTGCTGACGCTGCGTTGCGCACGCCTGCTGGCGAGCCCCGGTTG